CACATTTGGTTGGGTTTGCTCTTAAGCTCCGAAATCTTGGACTCCCAGATCATAGCCTTATCCGCGAATTGAGTTCGCCTTTAGCAGGTAGTCTGTATAGTGGTGAAGGCCACTCACGTCTCTATGATGACGAAGCTGTGTATCGGTATGTTACTTTTGCTCGAGTTAGAGCTCATTAAGCTAATGTTGTCTTAGGCTGGCTATTGAATTTGCTCTGGAAACGTCGAATGTCCAGGATGCAACGCTTAGCATCAAGCGAAGCCCCCCTGCTTCGTCCGTGAACCCTTACATCCTTCCGTTCGCCATGCGCGGCCTCCTTGAAGAAGAGTACGTCCGACGCGAGCTTTATGAAGAAACGATGGAACTTCTACGACAGTTTGACGACTGGAAACCGACTAGTAAGGTTCTAAAGGATGTAAAGTTCCGATTGGAAGGTATCCGCTCAAAGCTTTAACCGCAGTTCCACACTTGACACATACCCTCTCGATCAGCACTTCACTGACAACTACTAAATTCTGCTCCCAGCCTAGCGTGGTTTGCTATTGCACATCTTAGGCAGAGTTTTTTTTTTTTTTTGTGTACACTTCGTACACATCTTTGGGTGGAGAGTTGCAAAGAAGAAGAAAAAATAGAGCCCATTCCTATGCAACGGTGGGTCTTAAATAGAATACCTTGCTTCTGCTGCACAGATATTGATTACAATATTGGGAACATAATAGATGTGAAATATCTCACCCTTCCTATGAACCTGATGCGCTCTTTAGACATGGATACTATTATAGCTGCCATTGGTAGAATATTTGAAAGGAGATGATTTTTCGTAGTTATCGTCATTAAAAATGATACAGGCAAACCCCCGTGTTCCGTAGCCCAAAGATATATAACGCCGCATATGAATATTATAAGGGGTTCACTTTTTGTTTGAGTTATACTTTATCCATCGATCCCAATTCCGATGTACCAGATATCTAACCCCATGGAAAAGAAGTATCGCGCCCCACCGCGATGAAGCAAAAGAACGGTAAAATGGGTATGAGAGCGAACTCGACAGTTAAAAGGAAACAAAAGACAATAGGATAAAGAAACCAGGGAGAAAATTATGGTTGAGGGAACGCCGTTTGATATGCACCTTCGATTTCATCTAGGTTGATGGTTAGTCTGCGGCACTCATGATATGTATGGAGCATGCATAGGAATATGACCTACCTCTCATGCCGTCTAACGCCTCAAAAGCCGCCGCATAATTGGTCACGGTAGCAATGATTCGCTCTAGTCCTTGTCGGAGTTCTTCGATCAATCGATCCGAGGGAGTAGTCTTATTCCCATAGTCTGGTGACAGCTGCTTTTCTACGCGCGCTTTGTAGAATATCATTAGCATAGCGTAGCTGCCTTGCATCAAACAGCAGGCAAATGATGGCATAGTTCGAGGAAGCTGGTTCGGTGGTTGTAACGTCATCCCCCGCGGGCTCTTTGGCTCGTTCATAATTGGTTGCGGTATGGGTAGACTCGGGAACATGCGTGAGATCAGCAGAGCAGCCCTAAGGCAAACTTTGGCAGAGTGTTGAATGCTGAATGGGAATCCACTGGTAAACGAGTATTGGGAGATCGACTGATAATCCGAGGACGTAGATGAAGCGGTGGAAGGGGTGTACTCGCTCGACGGCTGTTGAAATGGTTCCAAGCCTCCGCATGAGCATCGAATGTCAGTGATTCCATTCTGCGCTCTGGAATCTTTGGCAGAATTACATGCTGCTAGGCTGTTGGAGTTGGCTGCGGTTAGGTCACAATGTTTCTTGATGAAGATAGGGATGTCTGAAAATGCTCTAAAGCGGTGGGTTTTTATTTGTGCGCTAGAATAAGATCAGTGATACGTTGGAATGCGATTTCTATGCAAATACCTACCTGGATAACTTGATCCGTGAGATTGAACGTATACTTTGAGCTGTTGTAAATTCCATACCATCACTACAGTTCAAGGACGGAGGAACAATAGGAAGCAAGTTAGACTGTGCCAATGCTGAGCTTGCCCACGTGTCGAGCTGCTGCATCCGTTCGTAAATGTAAGGCATATTGGTCCTTGTTGAAATACATTTGTTCAGGTCAATTACGAACTGAGTTGCTGAAACTAGCACTTGCTGAGCTTGCATCAGAACAGCCCAACCCTGTAGATCATGTTAAAGGTTGCCCCTTCAGCTGAGGTCCGCACAGAACCTCCAATTGGTGAAAGGGCGCAGGTGAAACTTACATCTGGATCAGCGGCAAAGCGCGGGTAAGGTGTTACAAATTGAGGATCGTTCGCAACAATGGCCAGCGGCTGGTTGACCTCGTTAACGGCTAAGCCTTCAAAGGAAAGAGAGAGGCGGTATATTCTTGGGGAAAAACTCACTGTTGTGCTGACAATCGACCCTTGGAGAACGCAGTAATACTATGGTAAGAATCAAGGTTAGCGGAATAGACATGATTCCAATCAAACCAGACATACTGTCATCCACCAAGCTCTTCTACGAGCTTCCGCGAATTCATCATACTCTTCTCCCAAAGAATGCAGAGACATATCCAGCGCGATCGCCAATGCCTGACCCGCACGGTATCGCATTTTAAGCAGGTTTCCTCGCTGAGTGTATTCGTATACGGAGAGCACCAACAGCGCAAGAATAGATTCAAGTTCCACGGGTGCATGGGGGTGGAAGCTCTCCCTGTTGATGAGAGGGCGTTCGCTTGAGAGCGCCTGTGATGGATCGGTAGAAGAGGCATGGAGCTCACAATCTGCTTCGATGCTAGAATTGGCCAATTGGGAGAACGTATGTGCATATGTCCTACGTCGGATAACAGAGGCAGGAGATGAGGGCTCCAGGTCACTCGGATGGGGTATGAGGGCCAAGACTGCAGACAAAGCAAGGCTAAGAGGGGACCGTGGTCTGTACAATAGAAGAGGTTCTTCTGTCGGAGATTCGGAATAGGAACCAACCGCATCCAATGGCCTGTCTGGAGAGGCCGGGGCTACCCTGGGCGGAAGAATAGGGAAATAATGATGAATAAAGTCGTAATAGGCGTTGAGTCTGCCTGGGAGATTAGAAGGGACCAGTAGTCCGGTTGGGGCAATGTAAAACCCACATGTCGTGTTCAGAGCCGTACGTCCTTACCAAGGACTGAGTTGATATGTTAGACGGCGAGGGGGTTGGCTCCATTTGTGCAGGTGGATGACCAGCATCGTGGGGGATAAAGAGGTCAGCGAACATTGACTGAACATCCGACGGGAAATCCAAGCTTCTCAGCCCGGCCCCTGGTACCGACAGCCCATCGATCTGACCAAACATGCCCGTCGCTGTACCCGAGTGAGTATTGGTTGCTTTTAGCTCTAGGATTTACCCATCATCACGTACACTCATCAAAGCCGGATGCTGCCGGGTGAATGGTCGAACTGTGAGCATCATCTTGTGGAAAAAATCCTTCCGGGGAGATGGAGGATGCCCTTTTCTTCTTCCTTGGACCGCCTCGTTTACTAGGCAGATAGGAGCATTTCCTTCTTTTACCGAGGCACTTTTCATAGAAGTAACTGTCTCAGTAAACGCCTTTATAATGTACTTTGCGGGGATAGTGTATGGCAAAGTGGAGAACATATTGCGACACGGGGGAACAGACACCATTCAACAAGAGCCAGAACAGACATAGAAAAGAAGCCCGAACAGAAACAAGAAAAGTAAAAAAAAAAAAAATAAAATAAAATAAAAAAAAAGGGAAAATGGGGGAGGAAAAAGCGAGGAGGGGAGCTAAGAAGAGACATGAGGATAACTGGAGAGAATGAGACATAGAAAGACCTACATTGGAACAAGGATCTTGTCCATCACAGCGCGTCCTTGAAGCACGACTGTTTAGGGAGCATGTGTCAGCCCAGGTCCGATACAATAGGGGACAAAGCACCTGGTAGTAAGACAGGGACTTTGTCTCACACGGTGCATGATTGTAGTCCAGATCCCAAAAACCGGGCGTTGTCCTACGGTTGGTCGTCATGGCCAGAAGCATTAAAGCAAAGGAATAACGTACCAGGAGAGACATGCTACTTTGACTGGTGGTTTGGCAAATTTCTTTCGCACCACGGTGGGCCTTGCGACCTTGGACTGTGTAACTGTGGTGGTTCCGTTGTCATGGAATTTCTGGAAGTTCTCCAGAACCATGGCGATTGCTTTGAGCAATTTGAGAAGTATAATATAGTAGTAGTGGTAGTCTAGAAACGAACCGGCTTTGCCAATGTTCAGTTGGTGTCATGCAGCCGCAACGATCGATAACACAGGGGACTTCAAGACTTTCACCGCGAGTGTTCCCGACATTGATGACTAGTAGATACTCGGATTGCGCATCATTACTAGGGGAAGCATACGACAACGGGGATCCCTAAGGTAGTGTTTATTTCGATACCCGAAGAGGTGGTCTGATATACGCCGTACAGCGTCGAGAACTGGGGTGTAGTACTGGGGCTTAATCATCCATAGTCAAACGATTCAAATCCCGAACGCTCACACTTCGGGATTTGCTTTTGTCCCCAAGAAAGCGTAAATGTGGCGGACGATTCGCGCGATTAGTCAAAAAGCATGTTCCTCTTGGTTCCCCTGAATTGAAGCTTCCTCGAATGTCGTAGTCAAAAAAAATGCAATGCATTGATCCAAAGCTAAAGTTGAGTTATGAAAACAAGAAACAGAACTTCTGCTCTCCTTTGCTTTTCGCTTTCTCTGTCTCTCGCTCGTTCGTTCTTCCGTCCGTCTCTGCTCAATTTTTCCTGATCAGGTTAGCTTCCACACTCATTTTGCTTTCTTTGTCTGCGTTAAACCGCTTTCGGACGACATCGACGGGGCCATGGCCTGATCGCATATATCACGTGATACATACATACATACATACATACATTGTCATATTCGATACGGGAGTACTCCGTATAGTGGTTACATTACTGACTGACACCTGGAACTCATTACTAGTATACATACCGGTGGCTTGCCACGTTTACACACACACACACACACACACACACACACACACAACCCAAGTTAATCACGATTATCCCCTCATTTATCATGTCTGCGAATGATCAATTCACATCTTTCCTCCCTGCCCTGTACAAGAACGAATAGGTGAGATAAAAGGGGTGAGCGAACGAAAAGCCAAGTGACCCAGGGAGATCGATAGATCGATTTGATAACAAGGCGCCAGAATGGTTAGCTTGTGCCTTGGAGATCTCGGGGCAAAGGAGGACTAATCGATCGACACGCCTTAGGTGAACTCTAATTGAATGAAGGCCCGCGCCAACTTAAGGTAGGTACTACTAGTAGGAGGTACACGACACGCCATTCCCGGATGCATTCCGGTCCAGAATGGAGATATCCGGTCGGCAACCTTTGTCGACTCCCGTCCGTACGCAAGGATACACTGGAGCCCGATTATCTCCGAGTATTCACCGTGATACGCACATTCTGGTCAGCTGAAGATACCTATCAAATCAATCCAAGGCGGGTCATGTTGACACTACCGTACAGGCAACTAGTAATGTCCGATCCGACTAGTGCGAACTAGGTTCTTACTCTAACTACTGAGGTAGTATTGCTCTCGAAATAGAATTACTGTCCTCCATATCTGGATCATCCTTTACGAATGATATGGAATGGAGCCCACCGCCACGTCAGGAATGGAAGTCAATATCGCGTAAACTAATCCCAGGCACACGCTTCACGCTGCCCCAGACACTGTCCGGAACTTTCACAGGCAGTTTGTGTCCCTTCAATTGCTGATCAATCAACCACATCCCAACAACGAATTCCTCTCTTGTTAGGAGCCCAATCTTTTGTGTATCAACTAGATCCCAGATCTGCTCCAGCACGAAGGATTGGAGGCGACTCCGAGACCAGATGTCTCGAACCACGCTGTTCACTACCATCTCCGAGGCATTTGAAGGCCATATGTCTCGCAGTGGATCATGTTCGGAACATTGCCTGTCCACTTCTTCTTTGGTAGGAACGAGGAGCCCCTTATTGGCCGCCCATACGCCCTCGTAGCGTTTTCTCTCCTTTTCCGTAAGCTCGCTCCGCCATCTCTTCCGATCGCCTTCGTGATGTTTATGTGGATGTTTCCGTATGATATGTGTTCTATGTCGGTGGTGACTATCATCTTCATCGTCGGGCTTAGCAGGGTTTCGGAGTGTATGTCGCAAAGGGCTGGATGGGCTCCGAGATTGGGAAAACTCTCTCCCATTGTTGTGAAGACGTAATATTGAGCGCGACCTTGGTTGTCGGTGCGGAGGGGGAGGTGGTGGATCCTTTCTTGTAGGTGGTGCTCGGGAGGATGCCAATGATGATGCGACAATTGCATCTGAAAGGGCGCCTTCACTCAAACTAGTAGAATCATCAAGCACACTCGGAGTACTGCTATTACGTCGTCGATCGTAAATCGACGAAGCAGTCGGGCTTAATGATCGGCTTGGGACATCATTCTTCGCCAGAAGGGCTCGATGATTACTTAAACCACCGTTAGGCGTGGGTGATCCGCCAGGCCGTGGAGGCAATGCAGGAGCTTTCTCATTTGATGAGGTAGATATATCCTTGGAGGGGCCGAAGGAGCAAGGACTTAGTGACTCGAGGGAGGCCTTCAATTCACTGGGCTGCCCGCTTCTGGTGGCAGGTTCCGCTGACCCTGGGCCGCCTGTGACTAGTCGTGATTTTCGAGGTGCTGGGGGTATTGGACGTGACTTTGCCACTGCATGTCGCGTAGAGTCTAGAGGTGTATTAGGTGGTTGTATGATCGGCTTTCGACGGATAGATAAATCTCGAGTCGGCCCAGCTTCCTCATCCCGTGAGTGTCGCCCGATCGGATTATTATTCGTTGCGACGCTCTCGGCTGAGCTTGGCCTGAACGCTTTCACATCTCGTACGTTATTATCGTTCTTTGGCTGGTGTCCATTTGTGCCTCGTATCACACCACTATCTGTGGTTGGTGCTGTATTTTTCCTATGCAGAGGGAGATGTTCCGCAGCAAACCGGGCGGCGATCTGCTGAGGGGATTCCGGTCTAAAAGTTGCTGGGCTCTTTCGAACGCTCTCGAGAGCATTCTGAGAATGGGCAGTATACCTTCCGATCTTGTCCTTTACGGAACCAACTTCGGGTGGCACTTCGGCTTCAATATCGGGACGGGGATCCGGGCCGAGATCATAGCTGTTGATATCAGCGGCTTCTCCGGTTCTGTGGGCGACTGCAGGCGAATTGCTTCTAGAAGCGCTTGTACGAAAGGCAGTGGTAGCACCTTGCAAAGCTGTCACAGAATTATGAACATGGCCAGGAGATAAATGGGGAGCTACCCGCTGATTCGGAGCGGGCGACGCCATTCATGAGACCCGATTGAAGTCGTTGAGATGTCAAGGGAAGATGTGCAGTGCTATACGTTTCATACAAATACTAAGAGATCCCAAAAAGGCATACTTGATCCACTCATGCATATAAATACCTGGAGAGAACTGATGTTTGTACCTACGGCAACAAATTAAAGACAACAAATTGAGCTCTGCTAAGAAGTCATCTGCGGGGCTAGTCTAGACCAGGTAATCGGCTAACCATCTACGGAAATAGTAGTTCTGGACCGCTCGAGGAGGAGCATTTTACTACGGAGTACAGAGTACTTTGTATGAAAATCGCAATAGTAACCATATATTAACCGAGCAGCTCATGGCATACTACATTCTACTTAGCAAACCAAATTCAGTTACTCTATCTCTAAAACTATTGATTGTTCAGAATCATGTTATATTCAAGCAATATACACTTAACCAATCTGCCTTCTTTTCCCTTAATCATATTTTGTTCTTGGAATTAACCTTACTTTCCCTCCCTTTTTCTCCTTTTTCCACATTTAACCGAAAGGTAAGACAACCGGCAGTGCGGGGAATTTCGACCAATGCTCATTGTCCAATCACGGGGTCCCCACTCGTACTCTTAGTACAGGATGTGAATTAGTATTCTGGAGAAACGTTCAATTGACCCAAATATTCTTCCCCGCTTCTAACCCTCTCAAGTTGCCCTGCGACGTAATCCAGCCCGAAGTTGGAACTAGTGGTTCGATCCACTGCCTCGAAAGATTGTTGCTTGAAGAACTTTCATCTACCTGCTCCCGATCAGGGTTCGAATACCTCAAGCCGGCCGATCATAGTGATGAAATGCCAGCATCGCACGGTCTTTCGTGATGCACCTCTCGCCACTTTTGTCATACGGCGATCTGTTTTTCTATCCGAGGTGCCATGCCAAATTCTCAAGCACTGCCTGCCTTAAGGAACAATCGTCCGTGAGACGCCATGTCCCCGGAGAACAGCGACGTTGGCCCAGGTATGAATTTGGTTACATCTTCCTTCCCTCAAGGACTTCCTGAAGTTACCTTGTGAAAGACGTAAGAGGACGCACAGAAGAAGTAACCAAACACGTGGTAGCAGTTGCAAACCGCCATGAGGCCGAAGAAGCGACATTGAGTGATAGGAACAACTACGACCATGAGATACAGCCCATTTCTACGGGCTCCAGTCAAACTGAATGTTCTATCTGTCACAGCATCTTTAGGCGACCGGAGCATTTAAAGCGTCATTTTCGCAGTCATACTAAAGAAAAGCCCTTTGAATGTACGCAGTGCGGCCGGCATTTCTCGAGAACGTACGTTTCTAATTTCAAATAAGCAGAGAACGATTCGGTATCCCATAGATAAGTTACAGCTGACATTGGCCAGTGACACACTCCATCGTCACGAGTTGAGTCACCATACCCTGGGACCAGAAGGGGGGAAGGACCGCACACATCGGATTACGGTAAAGACGTTTCGGGCTTGTTTCAAATGTGCCGTAGCAAGAGTGCGATGTAGCGGAGGAACACCATGCATCCGTTGTGATAATCGATCACTGGAATGTCAATATCCAACCGAGAGACGATCTAAAGCGAAAGCGCGGAAACAGTCATCCCGAAATCAGGACTCTGTGGATGGCTCGCCCGAGGAGCTGGTTTCTGGTCATGCCCGCTCTCCTGCGGCAAATCCAGGCATCCCTCTCGCGCAGGACAAAGGAAAACCATCTTCTCAGATTCCCGGTTACCAACTTGGTCAATTCCAGATCCAGCTGTCTGGGCAAAGCTCTTCCAAAACCACTTCCAGTTCTCGGGAAAACTTCAATGAACACCTTAATGACCCCCAAGATAGCCGACGCGCTTCTGAACCAGGGAATTTGGATCTGTCTAATAGTAATGGGGTGATAGATGTCGCGCGATTTCCTTTTGATTCTTTCACAGGAGTAAATCTTCAGCAGCTGTATCCGCAGATACCCACGTCGGACATTCGGGCAACACTCTCAGGTGACCAAGGAGCTCGATTAAACCATCAGTTTCAACCTGAAGTACCAGGTTCTAATATCAATATGGGTATGGTGGTTGCACATAACCAACAGTTACAGTTGGGGTTTCCACAGCCCTACTTGGATCCCGCAATGGCCTCAACGATCAACTGGCTTTCGAACGATTTGTTGCTTGATGCGCCCGGTGACCGCCCTACTGCAGACCGTCATCCCCCGCATTCTTCGCAAGGAGGGGCCATCGAAAGCTCCCTGCGCCAGGCATCATGGCTTCCCCCAGTTATCAGCGCGGACCAAACTAGTCCATCTTTACCAGAGCATGTTTATCAGACTCCTTCTGGAAACACATCGCTAGGTACTGATGTCGACAGCCCCAGACACTTTCCCCGTGATGCTGCTCAATCATCGACGCCCCAATCAAGGCCTTGCAACGCCTCCCAACGGTCAGCAAATTCGTACATAGACGGAAGTGGCGCTCGGCTTCCGAAATACAGGCGGAAGCAAGATCCTGGACTAAGGCCTGCAAGTCTAATAGATATCCGGTCTCAGTTACATCGAACAGGCGGCCAGTATAAATTCTCGTTCCCTACCATCCAGGAACTTAGGGAGGAAGCTTCAACTGAGGAAGTAGCCTTCAATTTTCAGATCGAACCTGCAATGTACGACAACATCTATCAGAGTTTTATCCAGCTGTGTTGCACCGAGAATTTTCTCTATCCCAAATTTGAAAACAACGTCTTTCCACCTCGAGAAGCCCTGTCGCAGTTTATCGAACTTTACTTTGACTCTTTTCAGACAGTATACCCAATCTTACATGGCCCTACTTTCAACCCGAATGCATGTCATTGGCTATTGACAATGGCTGTGTCAGCAATAGGCAGTTATGCCGCCGGTATTGATGAACAAGATAATTGTTCTGCGGCGTTTCACGAGTTTCTCCGGCGAGCTATACACATTGAGGTATGAGTCTACCTTGATATCTAATTGAGGGCATCCACTGATTGCTATTAAAGAAAGAGAAGTGTCGTCTAGGAGGAACACCTCTCTGGCTTATGCAGACAATAATGCTAAATTGTGTCGGATTGCTTCACGGACACAATGAGCACAGTAGAGATCTTGCGTTGGATAGTATCGGTGAACTAGTTAATATTTCGACGCGTGAGGGGTTGTTATGTGCTTCCACCCAGTCAAGGCTTCCACCAATGGACACTTCGCAGGACGCTCGTTGGGCTACATGGGTTGAGGATGAAACAAGGAAAAGAACAGGCTACTTCATATGGGTAAGATATAAAAACCGGAACTTGAGCGAGAACATAGTTGATAAAGATACTAGCTTTTGGACTGTACGCTTGCATACCACTTCGAAGGTCGGTTATTGCTCTCCCTTGACGATGGTCAAGCTCCACTACCATCAGACGAGAGCCTCTGGCGAGCAGGCTCCGCTGATGCCTGGAGACGACTTTACGACAAAACTACAGGTATCCCTCCTGTCTCCTTTCATGCGTAATTCTGTCTAACATGCGTCCCTTAGGCCGAGAGGAGGTTTCTCTATACAACGCCGTGCTCACGTTGTATATTGAGAAGAAGCTTGTTGCGAATATAGGAGAATTCGGTCACATCTTGTTAGTCCACGCGCTTTACCACCGCATGTGGGAGGTGGGTGACTATTTTCGCCGGCCTTTGTCGTTCTGGAATCCAACTGCCAAGAAGCAGCCTATGGAGGCTGCGATTCCCTCGGGATCTGTTTGGCTACCGGGTATACCTTCGTACTCGAGGTGGCGTAATAGCGCATGTGATTGCCTGGATATTCTCCATTGGGCGGCAAATAGCACGATAGCTAAGGCATCTGGCCTAGAACACCCGACCGTCCTACATCTTCACGAAGCTCGGATTATATTACTCGTACCTTTTCGTGAGGTTAAGACCTTGGTAACATCACTAGCAACGGAGAAGGTTCGATGGAGCGCGCGCCAGCAGACGATTGAGTGGCATTATATACTTCGTTGGATCAAACACGATCAGTATAAGGCTCGGCTCGCGGTTATACACGCAGGCGCGTCTTTGTGGCATGTGCGAAGATATTCGACCGGTGCATTCCATGAGCCGGTAGCTGTATTTCTTGCAATACTTACTCTATGGGCTTATGGCACGTGTCATTCACAGGCGTTTCCAGATATTAGGCCCCGTAGTGGGCCAGATGAGAACCTGCCCAGCGAGCCCACGTTCTTCCATATTGACCGTCCTTGTGACGATGAGCTGGTTCAGATCTTTGTTCGAGGAGGGCAGGGGATGAAGGGTAATATGACTGGCGTCGGGGATATATGTGCCCCCGAAGGCCCTAGACGGATTCTCCAGGTTGGCTGCGAGACACTTACTGGTCTTATTTCCTGGGGAATATCTACGAGATTTATTGCAATCCTGACAAGGCTTGGGGATTTGATGACGTGCGACAAATAGCCTTGATGTACAGCTACGATTTCTTTCTTTCTCATCTTATCTTCTTTGACAAACTCTTCTTTCTTAAGTTTCCCTAGTGCTCAATACCCTATCATAGCCTAGATTATGTCAAAGAGAAATAGGTTTTGACAATGGTGACAACAAGGGGAGAGAATATACATGAATTTAGAAACCTTAGTTGAAGGCGGTGATGAGCAAAAGTCCATATGATGTCACATGTTTTGGGGCGAATCCAATCGTTAGGTTTTATCTTATCGTTGCCTATTGCAGCCTAGACCCCAAACATGCAGATATAAACTAGTATTCCATGCATCCTGCCCTCGAAACCCAGGTTCACTACCTAGATTTACAATCTAGTCTTTTGTATGCGACATGGATTCTGACGACGATTACAATGCGCCTGCCAATACTAATCCTCGCATTGAAGATGAGCAGTCTGACCTAGATGAAAAGTAATACCGACAACTCTCACTTCCCTTCGCTGGACATTGCACACATTTGCTAATCAATTGGGCGCCAGGTATCCCAACCGCCCACAAAATCATTCCACTACTTTGCCGTTTCATGTTTTGTTCCAGACGCTTTTCTATCCATTGAGTGAAATCAAAAGGAATCCAGCTGGACCTGCGCGCAAGAAGGTCGGCCCTCATGGACTGTCCAGCACTAATCTGACTCCATTGGAAAAGCGGCGAGATGTTATCGACCGCTTCATCTCAAGATGGAGGAAGGAGGTCGGGGATGACATATATCCCGCGTTTCGATTGATTCTTCCTGACAAAGATCGGGATCGGGCAATGTACGGAATGAAGGAGAAGGCTATCGGGAAACTTCTAATCAGAATAATGAAAATTGATAAGAACTCGGAGGATGCTCTCAATCTATTAAACTGGAAATTACCCGGACAGACGACTACGTCCAGC